GGTTTTTTTGTCATTTCTAATTGAAATGACTCTGCTCCCTTTGCTGCTTTGGCTCCCAGAAAGTAGGGTGTGTGGGGGGGTGTTATTTACAGGCAGGGGAGTGGATGCTCAGCAGGTGATTTGGGGTTTCCAGCTGATGGAAAACCAAATGAAAAATCAGCAGGTGACATCCATTTCTGAGGCTTCTGTTGCTTGGGGTGACTCGGTGGCACCTGCAGGTAGACGGGTGTTGAGTTCCTCCTGTGAAGCTGATTTGGTGCTTGGGGTGACTCGGTGGCACCTGCAGGTGGACAGGAACGGGTCCCAGTTCCTCCTGTGAAGCTGATTTGTTGCCTGGTTATGGAAGTGATGTTGCTATTTCTTAGTAATTCTTTTCCTTTCAACTTTTTCACTTGGGGAAAGGATTTTATGAGACACCTGATCAAACTGGTGGTGCAGGCGAGTGCTTCAAGTGACGTACGTCATGGCCCCTTCTGCCCTCTCCTGAGACATCAACTCCCGCTGGAGCAGCAAACTCACCTGGAGCCAGGAATACGTGCAGGCGAGTGCTTCAGGTGACGTACGTCATCGCCTCTTCTGCCTTCTCCTGAGATCCTACATCAACTCCTGCTGGAGCAGCAAACTCACCTGGAACCAGGAACAGGGGGGGGATTCCCCAAATGGTATCAAGGTGAGTGGGTTGAGGGGATGCCTTGTCAAATTAACAGCAAACAGGAGCTCAAGGAATCATAGAATTGTCCGGATTGGAAGGGCATCAAGATCATCAAGTCCAACCATCAACCCAACTTGGGTAAAAACCATCACTAACCCATGTCTCTAAGCACTGTGTCTACCTGGCCTTTAAATCCCTCCAGGGATAGTGCCTCAACCACTTCCCTGGGCAGCCCATTTCAAGGCTTAAGAACCCTATCAGGGTCTTCCAAGGCTTAATAACCCTTTCAGGGTAAAATTTTTTCCAAATATCGAATCTGAACCTCCCCTGGGGCAACTTGAGGCCATTTCCTCTTGTACTGTCACTTCTTCCTTGGGAGAAGAGTCCGCCCCCCCCTGGCTACACCCTCCTTTCAGGGAGTTGGAGAGAGCGAGAAGGTCTCCCCTCAGCCTCCTTTTCTCCAGGCTGAACACCCCCAGCTCCCTCAGCCTCTCCTCATAAGACTTACTCTCCAGACCCCTCACCAGCTCCATTGCCCTTCTCTGGAAGGTCCCATTTCCCTGGCACCTGGGCCCTGGTTCACAGCGACGTTAAATAAGCATCACTCTGGCTCAACAAGCTCTCAATGCTGTCACCAAGACAGGCTTAAGCATCACTCTGGCTCAACAAGCTCTCAATGTTGTCACCAAGAGAGGCTTATTTGTTTGCAAAGAATGATAAAATCTGATTTTAGTAACTTACTGTACCTTATTATGAGCTTTGTTCTTGACTAAAAAGGGATTTCAGCAAAAGCAAAGGTTTAAGAGCCCCTGTTGAAAGCAATTCCTAAGTTGCTGGACAAAACAAGAAGGAAGAAGAGATTTTTTTTTTTTATTATTCACCATATTGATAATATTTACACTTTGGCTTTCTTTGACAAGTCTTACCCTAAGTGTCAGCTGGACAAAACAAGAAGGAAGAAGAGATTTATATTTTTTATTCACCGTATTGCTAACATTTACACTTAGGGTAAGACACGTCAAAGAAAGCCAAAGTGTCGGGGGAAATAATAGTTTTTTAAACTTCGCAGCAGCTTTTGCAGCAATAACTCTGAATTAGTCCTGTTGGTCTTCCTCTGATGAGTATTAAACTTTTTTTTTGGTCTTCCACTGGAAATCAGAGATTTCCTGAATGAGGTGTAAATGCACATTTCCATGTACATCAAAGCCAAAATCAAGGTATTTTCTTTTTCCTGCCATGCCGTTATGGATGAATTCATTCAAATGAATTTTGTAATCTGGCTAAATAAGACACAATTTCCAAGGTCAGGCCACTGTCAAAGAGCATGTTGAGAAGAGCCTTATCAGCCCCAGGATTTACCGCTGCTCTTGGATGTTGTGGGACCTGGGACCAGAGGTTTTGGTCAAAGCAAATGTATCTGAGGGATTTTTCTAGTGATTCTTGGCACGGTGGTGACTGGATGTGCCGAACGGGTACTTCAGGAACCATTTACCCCCTTCTACCTATTTTTCTCCAGCCTTGATGCCAGAGACTGGATGAGATGAACCTCCCCATCCCCGACATGGCAGGAGCTGATCCCAGGATATTCAGCATCCAGAGGAGACCTAAAATCTCCACTGCTCAGTCCAAGGCACGTGCAACCACTTGTTGCTTGGTAGGATAGGAATCAGCAGGCACAGTAAGGTTCAAAGAAGACCCAGACACTAAAAACCCTTAAATTTGACATTTTATTTCATCGCAGAAGAAAATCCAACATAGGCCTCATTATGTTATGCATCTTTAATTATAAAAATAAGCAAAGAAAATAACTTGCATCTTTCTCATTACTATGATATGTTTCAAATAACCTTTATATGAACACACTGAGCTTTAAAAATGTAATTTAAACAATAAATAATGACATATACCAGATATGCTCACTGTTTATTCCAGTACTCAGCAAAAAAAAAAAACCAAAAACAAAAAAACCCAAACTCTCTCCCCTTTCTAAGTATCTTTAAATTATAAATACATAATGCAAATTTATAATGGCACAAAACATCTAAAGTGCAAACAAATCACAATGAGAATCATGCAAACAGTTCTAGAGAAGCCCCTCCCCGCCCCCAAGAAAAAAAAAAAAATCATTCTGCCAAGATTAAAAAAATAAAGCGTTAGAGATTAAATAAAAGGTGAAATAGCTGGACTTAATATGGAGAATCGTTCTCCATCCCCAGGAGGATCTCTCTCACCTAAGTCACACCACCTAAAACCGGGCGACGGGAAGTGCCACCTCCTGTCCCCGTTGTCCCCTTCCCAGAGAAGAGAGAGCTTGAAGTGACCAGCTCAGGCTGGATGGCAAAAGTTAGGCAAGGTGAACCCCAGGCCTTTGATTTTAGGGAAAAAGAACCAAAAACAAGTGACATTAAAGCAGCTCAAAAATCTCACAATGTAGCCGGGGCTCTCCCCGGTGTGGGGCATCTGGAGAGGCCGAGCTTTGGTTTGCACAGGGGACATCTTCCTGTGACACCAGAGCAAACCCAACCATGGGGACATTATTTTCCCAGTCTCTTCCCACCCGTATCAAGGGGCCAAGTTTGAATTCCTACTGGGAAAAGAAAGCTAATTATTACAACCCAAGATGATAAGGTTCGGGGTAATCTAACCCTCCGCCCCATCCCCAAATCAACTTTATAAACCTTCTTTGGGTTTCCATAGAAAGGGATGCACAAAGCAACAGAGAAGCCACTTGCCATGAGGAGCATCTCCATGGAAAATCATGGCCGAGGAGAATCTCCATGGAAAATGGTCGCTGCTGGATGTCCTCATGAGGAGCACCTCCATGGAAAATGGTGATTGCTAGATGTCCTCATGAGGAGTATCTCCATAGAAAATGGTGACTGGTAGATGTCCTCGTGAGGAGCACCTCCATGGAGAATGGTGACTGGTAGATGTCCTCATGAGGAGCATCTCCACGGAAAATGGTGGTGGCCAGATGTCCTCATGAGGAGCACCTCCATGGAAAATGGTGGCTGCTAGATGTCCTCAGCAAGCTCTGCTGGTGCCAGCCTCGGGGCCTCGCATACCCAGAGCAGGAGCCACTTGGCACAGCCCAAACTTGGACTGGTAGCACCAGTGCAGGTGCACCTGGCGGAAGCGAGGACACCACCTCCAGCCAGAAACAGAACTTTCTGTAACTTATTTCCCCAAATCGTGATCTGCAGGTGATGCACAGACCCCAGCAGACTCCCCAGTGAGTGGTCCCCATCTCCCAGCAGGAGGTGGGACGCTGTCAGGGGGTGGGGTAGGTGGAGGGGGTCACACACACACAGTTCTGGGGTGGCTTCCAAAGTGTTAAGTCAAACTTTTAGGGTCAGGATATTGAAGGGGCCTTTGGTTTTCACCTTGCAAAACTTCTTTGTGTTGGACTCTCTATACCTGACTGTGATTTAAAAATGAGCAATATTGCATCTCGCTTGCCCTGGACGGCACGATTCAGAGTATTTAAAAAAAAAAAATATAATAAAATAATAAAATAACAACCCTCTACCGTCAGCAACATTTTTTGCTGCTTACAATTTTATGACAGCACTTTTGGGCTACATTTAATGAAGACAGCAATATTAGCAATGCTGCCACTGCATCTGGTTTCAATATATTAGCAGCAAGTTATTGTTTAAAGGCTTTGTGGTTTAAAAAAAAAAAATAAAAATAAAATAGACGTTATATTGCTTTAGATTTTGAAAAGAAAAATAGATCCCTCCTTTATTAGCTCTCTAACTAGTTGAGCAAGAGTCATCAACCCCGCAGACGGACTCTGATGGGGTGGATTTGGAGCGTGGAACTGGCCTTGTTGATCTTATGCCACCATGTGGCTTTTTTTTTTTGGGGGGGGGGGGGGGCGAGGGGGGGCCCAGCCACGGTGGCCACCGGCTGCTCCGGTGGGAAGGCAGGAGGGAAGGCAGATCCCAGAGCACGAAGCCCCGCGTCCTCCCAACGGCCAGCACATCCCTTTGCTTCTGAAGCTTAAAGAGAATCCAAAGGATTTTTTTTTTTTTTTTTTTTTTCTCTTTTTCCCCCGGAAACCTGGGGAGGTCTTTGCATAAAGGGGCTGTGGCTTTTCCCTGTTCATTGTTTTTTAACTTAGGTGTTCAGCATAAGCTGCCAATGTTTCTGTTGGTCATGTTATTCCAGCCCAGTCTCTTTGTTTTTTCCTCTCTCTTATCCAGTTAGCAGTTGTTACCTGGGTTACTAAAAAGCGGGGCCAAGCAACTTCTTTTGCAAAGGTCATGCACATGTGGTCGGTGCCTTTCTGGCCTCTCTTGTGCCGCCGCGGGTCCCACCTGGGGACCGGGGGGGGGAGGGGGGGGGCGGGGGGGGGCCCAGCCACGGTGGCCACCGGCTGCTCCGGTGGGAAGGCAGGAGGGAAGGCAGATCCCAGAGCACGAAGCCCCGCGTCCTCCCAACGGCCAGCACATCCCTTCGCTTCTGAAGCTTAAAGAGAATCCAAAGGATTTTTTTTTTTTTTTTTTTTTTCCTGCCTTTTCCCCCGGAAATCAACTCTCTGAAGGAAGTTTTACCCCGTGGCAGAGCCCAAAGCAGCTTTTTCTCAGCCATCTGATAATTCCCCAAATAGCTCCCCAGCAGCACTCGTGCCTCGGGTATGACTACGGCTCACAGCAGCTCTGGGGAGATAAGACTGGCCAGGCTGAACTCTTCTTTTTTTCCTTTTTTTTTTTTTTCCTCTTTCCCCCCCGCCCCCCTCCATTTTCACTATGAGAAGAGAGGCTTGTTTCTGGCCCTGTAATTTCTGTCCTAAGCATTTTCTCTCTTTCATTAGAAAAAAGGCCACAGAGTAGAATGTGAACTCTTGAATACGACAGAGATACTGTTTCCAGGAAGAAAAAAAGAAATAGCTAACTTACAAAACTAAGTTTATGCAATAAAGTTATTATATTCTGCTCCTTTTAAGCAGACTCTCGTGGAATTTATGTACAGTACATGACAGATTTTAAAACTATTTATACCACAGTTAGAGCAAGACCTTTAATACTCTAGTCTTAAGACAGGGTTTGTTTTTGTTAGATTTCTTTTAAAGCTTTAGACAGTTAAATACAGTACATAGATGTTAGCTTTTAAATACAATGCAAGATTATGTAACCTTCTGAGCTTCAACCATCGACTGGCACCTCTTTTAATCATTTCCGTAGTACAAAATGTTCCTTTCCTGATTCGGTGTGTGTCGGGGAGGGGGGGTTAGGGGGGGTTGGTGGGTAGTTTTAACTCATTTTGCACTGTGGTGCCAGGTCATGGGGGACTAGACTCACCCACAGCGGAGTGAGTTGGGTAAATCAAGGGGTTAAGGGAGCTGCGTTGGAAGGATTGGGACTGTATGACACTAAGAGACCAGGAATATGACATTCATATTCGTCCATGGCCAGCACAGATTCATAACACGAATTCCATTGACATCTTTAGGATGTGCAATAGTTATTAGTGCATCTATCGTCGCCTCCCAGCTCAACACAAGAGAGAATAAAGCCACTCTCCCTGGTGCCAAATCTTCAGACCTCCATGGTGTTAGCGCTACAGTACGTTTCGAGTTTGGTGTCTGAAGGCCTGACTACTGTAGGGTTATATTTAAGACTAAGGTTGTTGGGGGTGTATTTTTGTGGGGAAGAAAAGAGATGGAGACGTTTTGACGGCGGGAAAGCGGAGACACTGAACACGGACCCATGCAAAAGTTTCGTCGGAGAGGAATAGAAAATATTCATGAACTAAAACCTAAAACCAGTTCCTAGTCGTTATTAAAACTAGCTACAGTACACTTGGGGTTGGGTGCATTACTCTTCTAGAAGAGAGACGTCAGCTTTGGTAGTGCTCAGCATCCCTTACACACCCGTGGCGGTTCCCCCCGCGGCGTCACGCGCTTTCGGCGGAGCTGCGCTTCGCGTGGGTCGGGACGGACCCCTCACCTCGGAGGTTCCTGAAGTAGAGTTTTAGCTTCTGGGGCTCGCTGATGCGTCTCCTGGAGAAGTCAGCACGGGGGTGGCCTTGGGCGCAGTGGTCTGTCTGCAGCAGGTGGAAGAGGCTCGCCATGTTGGGGCCGATCTTCTCCATCAAGCTGTCCTTGATGGTGCTGACGGTCTCTTCGTCGCACTCCAATAAGCTTCTCACCAGCTTGTTGTAATACCTGCACAAGAGTAATACCGGTCGTTATGCCAAGGCATCCACCAGCAAGATGAAGAAACAAGGCAAGAGCTCATCTCAACTGCTACAAGTGATAAAACTATGAGAAGCAGAATTTTTAAGTCGTTCAGGGTGTGTTTGAAATTGATTTTTGACAACGCACAATGTACATATTCTCGCTGCAGCCCTGGAAATGTTGTGCCCATGACATAGACAAGGAACACAACCAGAAGCAGAATTTTTAAGTCGTTCAGGGTGTTTGAAATTGATTTTTGACAGCGCACAACGTACATATTCTCGCTGCAGCCCTGGAGATGCTGTGCCCATGACATACACAAGGAACACAACTCATCAAACTTCTAATTTAGTCCTCCTAAATGAGTGGTGGCTCTAGCTTTTGGAGGCACAACTGATTTTGGTGTTACCCCCATGGATTGGGAAGAAGGTAAGAGTGAGGAACCACGATGATCTAGTAATTGGCTTAAGAGTGTGTTTTACCCTCTGCTGAACAACCTGAGTTTCTAGAGCTTTAGGAAAAAAAATAATTGCATGTTTCTAATGGACAGATACTGCCCATCACCCAACAGGACAACAGGCTAAACAGACCCATGGTCTGAGCCAGTACGACCCTTCAAATGAACGCATCCATCCCTGCAGCTCCATTCCCTGTCATCCCTCTCCCTTCCCCTTCTGCAGGGGACCAGGAGAGGGAGAAACAAGCTTAGCCCAAGCCAGAGCTTGGCAGATCCGTGTCTTCCCTGGGGACAGATCTTTAGGACAGGCCATCAGTTGTCACTCCCAACAAGCCCAGCGTGAACTGAATGACAAGTGGGGATTGTCCTGTAGCCTCTCTGCCTCCTCCACAGCCTGCTGCTGCCTTTTCCCCTCCCGGCAGCCCCGCGAACGCGTTCCTTGCTCGAGGAGGGAGCCAGGAAATTGTGCTGATCTGTTTCCCCAGCGCTGCTTGAGCCCAGCAGAGAAGAGAGCTCAAAGGAAGGATCCTCCACGGGGCTACGGCAGAACCAGCACAGCCCCAGGAGTGCTTGGGCAGGGAGAGCAAAGCTGGCCAGTGGGACCCCACCGGTGTCCAAGAGGACACCTTCCCAGGGAGAAAAAGTTGGGAAAAAGAGGAGGAGACCCATATTTGCTGGGCTGCTCCTGCCTGAAAGGACGTCGGGGAACTTATTTTAAGCCTTTAAGGTCACCGTGACATTTTTTCCACGGGAGCAGAGAAGAGAATAACCTGCAGGTGGAGGAGGGGAAGGAAGAGGGAAATGAGAGTTCGCATTCAAACTCCTTTCCCAACTCTCAGCGTTGGCCTTTAGAGCCGCCAGCGGAGGTCAGGTGAGGTTAAAGTTTCTGCTGCATCTGAAGTACAAAAGGACCAGGCTTTGGCAATGGCAGAGCACAACCCCACAGTGTCAATATTAGGGTCTGAAGCGTGGACGGCAGCTGATGATGAACACAGCTGTGTGAGCCACGCACCCAGCACAATCCAAGCCCTGCTCCACCAGGATGGGAGGAACTGATCCTGCCTCCCTTCCTCTGCTCTTACACCTCCTTCACACAGACACAGCCTGGGGGGTTTCCAGAGCCAGGGCTGCAATCAAACAGCTCGCCAGTGCCTTTTCGCTAGCCAGACTGCAAGCAAAGGCAACAAGGCTTTCCTCTGCTCCTGCCATGAGATTAAATCACAGGAAGATGCTATGACCTTTAACTACTTCCTCTCGGCGTCCCCGGCCAAGTGGCACATTCTTATTCTGTGGCTATGTTGGGACAGGGGCTGGGAAAGCAGGATGCTTTAGGAGACCTCAATGTAAACTATTAGCTGGGAAATCCTGCTGCTTTTGTTACTCAACATGTCATAATATCCTTTGGCTTCGGCAGGGCTTGGCGGCTGTGGGGGAGGAGTTCCCCCCCCCCCGCCTCGGGAGACGGCGGCTCCGCTTCAGGCTCAGTCCTCTGGAGAGGAACATCCCCAACACGTAGGACGTCGCCGCTGCCATCACCGCATCCTCCCTCGCTCAAGTGTCCACACGTCCCTCCTTCACCCCCACAGCCCCACCAAGGGCTGGTCGATTCTACAACCCATCAAGTTAACCCAAACTGCTCTTTCAGCTGGTAAAACACTGATGCCGCAGCCCTGACGGCTCCTCATCCCAGCCCTTGGAGGAACACTCAAGCAAACCTCTTCCAAATTTGCTTGGGGGAAGAGGGGAAAGACACACAAGTATAATTTTCTGGATATAATATCTACAATAGAGTTTTCCGTAATAAATTTACGCCAGTCAGAGATGCAATGTCTATCCATCAGTTGCATCCCTGTCCTAGGGTAGGTCTGGAGGTTTGAGATGCTTCTAGATCAAGTCCAACAGCCACCCCAGAGGAGCCGTGGCGCTCTCTGCAGCCAGCCAACATGTTAAACTGCAGCTTGGTCTGTTTGCGCTCAAATTCTAGAGCATATTTACTCAAACTGTTCAAAAAGATCCCTTTTATCCCAATCACAAGACTCAGCACTGATTGTTCCAGGATTTAGAGGAAGAAATCCCTGCCCTTGCAGCGTGACTGCGCAGACTGCAGTAGCTCCCTGAAGCTTCTCTCTGTCCCTTGTCCTTGGAGGATGGGGACAGGCCAGTTCTGCCCTCAGACAAAGGTGCCAGAGAGCAGCGTGACGGGCCCATTTCTGCAGGTTATTGGGAAGGAAAAGGGGTGAAAACCCAAAATGAGACCATTAAGAGCACCAGACTATCCCTAGAAATATGAACTACAGGATTGTGGCAGAATAAGGTTTAGAGAGGAGCTTGCTCGCTGGTTCCCTTTAAGCTCTCCTAGTTCTTCATATTTCCATGGTAAGGCCTCGTTTGCTAATTGTCATATAAACCCAACGAAGGGGATGGCAGCAGCCTGAAGAAGTGAATGGAGCTGCAATAGGTTGAGAAACTCTCCAGTGCTCAATATGCCAGAGATTCTACATTAATCAAACTGGTTTGGTATCTAAAAGCTCCGTTCACCATTACGCTGTGTTCAGGCTAAAAGAACTAACATTTAAACAAACTCCAGGCTTTGAAGTAATGTACGTCTAGTTAATTTTATGATTCTCCCCTGGAGATGTCTATTTACCAAAAGGAGAAGCAGAAGGATGCTGGTAACACGTTAACAGGGATTTGGAAAGGCAGAGAGAGTTACTCAGGCTACGCTACGTTAGGACTTGCAAGAAGTCAGTCAACTTGGTTCCTCTGTCCCCATCTTTCACATTTCTGATTTTGATGCATTTCAGCTGAGGAAAGCTCCACATACCGGTTTGAGAACTGATTTGGGAGCTGGACGACCTCCGTGATGGCTTCGGGATTGCGTTTGGCGATGCCACACATGTCCAGCTTGCTGTAGCACTCCTCTTGCACCTCGGAGATCATTCTTTGGAAGGTGGAGCACCTCCGGATGGCAAGGAACACCTTGGACGTAACCCCGTTTGCGATGCACTTCAAGCTTTCCTTCACAAAAGCTTTTCCCTGGAAACAGAAGCAAAACCTTAAACTGCATCAGATTTCACAGAAAGGGATGGGTTCATAGTTTGGGGAGAAGAGCAAGCTCCAGTTCCCCAATGATTTGGGCAATGGAGGTCTTTGTGTGAATAGACCTGGGAGTGCCAGCACCAGAGATGGGCCAACTCTGCCCATGGGGAGGGGGCTGGACCACTCGCTGCTGCTTCCCCAGGACCTCAAGATGCTTTAAGAGCTTTTAAGTTTGTCCTTGGGAGGCAGAGCTCGGGGAAGGGGGGGGCGTGCATCATTTTGGGAAGAAAGTAGGAAGGAAAAGGACCCTTGGCAGAGCCACAGTCCTCTGATATTATCCTATTTATTCTGCCCTGAGCGACTGCAGCTCCGGAGAGGCTGATCTGGCCGTGCATTCCCAGGCCAGGAGACTTCCAATTCAAATCCCAGCCCTGTGCCAGGTCACACAGTCAGAAGACTTACTTTGTTAGAAGAACGTTTATATTTCCTCCTGAAGAGGAAACTCAGCTCTCCGCCCCACGAAACGCGCCTTGCCAAGTCCTCACACATAGCATACAGTATGTGGAAAATGTACTGTAGAAAAGAGCCCTGAAGGATGCATTTGTGGCCAAAAAAACCGAAATCACGGTTCAGAGGAGTAGCTGAGCAGCAGGAAGGGCTGCAAGAAAGGAAGGGTTAAGCCTGCCCAGACCCCATCTCCGTGAGGACACAGAAATTAAGGCGTCCATTCAGCAAAGCGTTTAAGCACGTGCTTTGGTGCCGCAGGACTTGTAAAAGCACTTTATTGAACCGGGGCATGAAAAGGGAGCTCTAAGGGCGAGGTATTCTTCTTGTCCCCTTTCTACTGGTACTGTACCTGAGTGTCAAATTTAGCAGCGCTGTAGAGGAAGGACTTGCAGATGTCGTACATGCCGTCCGTGTCACACGTGGAGTTCTCCAGGCAGGCGAAGGCCCCGCAGCCCACCTGGAGGGCACTGTTCAGGCAGCGAACCACCTCGGCTGTGGAGAGAGAGACACGGCCACAACATTACACACAGCCCTCCCCGACCACGATGCCCAACACCCCAGAGCCCTTCTCCAACGCAACATCAAGTCACGCTCAACCGGAGTCAAGGAGTAGCCTCATCGCTTCTGGGGACTGGAGGGAGAGGTAACGAGGAGAGGCCAAAGGGGGTAATTAACTGAAGTCATGCAACAGATCACCAGCAAATCAAGGAACAGCAACTGCAATTATCGAAACCTTCAATTGGTTGCACACAGATTAACAGAGAGGCAACATCTGATAGTCTCCGGCTGGCTGGAGACGTACAGGTCCATCCCAACCCAATTCTGGCCGCATGAATTTACAGCTTTCTTGAGAGTTCCTCTAAAGGAGGCAGAAGGAACGAGGACGGGCCCATGAAGAGCACCAGGAGGTGAGGTCTCCCCCACAGTCTCAGACCGAAGGGAGGTCAGAGCAGCTCGGCAGCACCTGGCTCCCAACCCTCACTGGAAAATGAGACTGAAGCGATGGCGATGGCCAAAAAGCCGGCGTGAAATTCGCACTTACTGCGAGGAAGCGCCGGTTTTGCCAGCACTGGAGGCACTTGTGCTTCTCTAAAAAGCAGAAAGTCTCTCGAAATAAGATTTCAGTTGAACTACAAAGGACTCGAAAGAGCAGCTTGGTGCTAAATACCCACCTGGTACCCAGCAGTTTGCAAGCAGAGCCAAGAAAGGTCAAGATCCGCAAAGAGAAGGGATATTTGGGCAGAGAAAGTTAAGGAAATTGGGGCTGACCGTGTAGAATTAAAATCGTTGAGGCAGCATTTAGTCTGAACAGGAGGGTATCCATGTCATCCCATCTTTTTTAGAGCAGATACTATGCCTTTTAACAATGAATCAGCAGTATTGCCACATGATTGCCCTGAAATTAGGAGGGATTAACCTTTTTTGGTAAGCTGAACATCTGTCCCCTTATGTGTCTGAGCAAGGCATATTCATTACTTTTGCAGATCATGTTACGAGACATTCTTTAGGAAGAAATGCAAACCCAGTGTCTCCCATCGAGACCCTAGGTGTGGGAAAAGTGAGGGTTTGCATTTAGTGGGAGAGAACACACCTTATTATTAAGAGCCAAGTTGTAGCCCTAAAGACGCATCTATGTAACTGGGATCTTGACCGAAAAGAGAAGGGGAAAAAAATATTTTCAAAAAAAAATCACCCAATTAACCCCTCCTCACTCTCCGCTCTTGCTTACGTGCCTGAAGGGAGAAATATTTGGTAAGATCATCCTCTCCCCAGTTCATAACCTCGCCGTCGCACCAGCCATTCCCATAATTATGTTTCCACAGGTTCAAATTATAACTTTGCTTTCAGCAGACTTAGTATGCATTAAGCTTTTATTGTTTTAGGCACGGTGCAATAGTGAGACCCTATGTTTCTATAGCAACCAAATACAAAAGGAAATTGAGCAAACACCCTAGTATAATGCTGCAGAGCCTTGCAGATCTAAAATAAGACATCTGTTAATGAGCTCCAAATTAGAGACCTAATATCTTTTCAGTATAGTAGAAGACAGATTTTTAATTCCCATTGTTCAAGACAATGTGTCCAACTTATCTAAGCATCTATAGTGCACAAAGTAGAGACATCCAGAGCTGACTTAGCCAGCAATTTTTTTTTTTTTTATCCATTGTAAAAGCAAGTTTGCTAAATGTCACAATTGTATTTTTATGGTACCATCTAAGTGATAGCAATCAGTTTTTGAAAATAAATGCTAGCAGTGGACAGTTTCTAGGTTACAGCATTCTTCAAAGTCGCAGATCTCTCTCCCCCCTCTTTGAATAGACAGATGTTTGGCAGAACAATGGTTCAGTCAAATTTCCACGGATTTTTATCAACTTCCTAAAAAGCAAGGAATTTAACACCGAAGTATGATTGCAACTGGAGAAGAGAGAAAGATACATGCAAGCAGGAGGAGAGGGAATTAAAAAAATAAAAAAAAAAGGAAAAAAAAAAGTACATGGAACTCATTTAGTAGATGGGGGGAGGAGGAGAGAGAAGGGATCGCATCCTGCAAGCAGATCACACACCGGTTCCCTGCCCCAGCTCCTGAAAGGAGAAGATTTTCTTCTCCAGCTACTCACCACCGTCCTCCTCAATCAGACCCTTAATCTTTGTTCCTACCAGTCGTTAAGTTTATAAGCACAAAAAAGAAAAAAAAAAGACCCCAAAGAAAAAAAAAAAAGAAGAAGAAAAAAAAAAGATAAAAACCAGCAGTAGAGATAACTGAAACAGTTTAACACATCAGGGTTCAGGCTCAAAGCCCTCCTCGCTGGGTGTTACCTGAGTTCTGGGCTGCAACCCTGGGTTTCCTGGGGCTCACAGAGTCATTCTGTTCAGCTTCATAGGATGCAGATGCACTGATCACCAGCAGCAGGAGAAAACCAGACTTTAGGAGCATTCTCTGACAAGTTTCCGCTAAGTGTGGTTTTTTTTGGGTGGGTTTTTTTGTTGTTGTTGTTGCTGTTGCTTTTTGGTTGGTTTGATTTTTTTTTTTTTTAGAAAAACCAGCAGTAGAGATAACTGAAACAGTTTAACACATCAGGGTTCAGGCTCAAAGCCCTCCTCGCTGGGTGTTACCTGAGTTCTGGGCTGCAACCCTGGGTTTCCTGGGGCTCACAGAGTCATTCTGTTCAGCTTCATAGGATGCAGATGCACTGATCACCAGCAGCAGGAGAAAACCAGACTTTAGGAGCATTCTCTGACAAGTTTCCGCTAAGTGTGGTTTTTTTTGGGTGGGTTTTTTTGTTGTTGTTGTTGCTGTTGCTTTTTGGTTGGTTTGATTTTTTTTTTTTTTGGTCGGTTATTTTTTTTTCTCTCTTTTTGTTTTTTTTTTTTTTTTTTGGTGTGTGTGTGTGTCTCTTTCTCTCTGTCTCTCTCTCTCTCTCTCTCTTTTTTTTTTTTTCCTCTTCCACTTCGGCTTGAGCAAAGCTGTGGATCTGGAGAGACGCTCCTAGGGAGAGAGAAGGGGAATCTGCCGAGGCTCGGGGACTCTTCGCTGCCGAGATTTCCTTGGACCCTCCGGCTTCTCCTCGCTGGGGGACCGGGAGCAGCTCCCAGGGCTTTTATAGCCGCCCTTATCGGTCCCCCCCGCGGGCTGCCGAGCCAATGGGGAGGCGCTGGGCAGAGCCAATGGCAGACTGGACTCATTCAAGCTTTTTTTTTTTTTTTGGTGTGTGTGTGTGTCTCTGTTACTGGCTGTGGCCTGACCACTGAACTGTTAGTGTTGTTACATTCAGGCCAGGAGACAGACACAGCCACCTGGGGTTGGCTGTAAAACAAGAATTCTCTGTTAACTGCCCTAGTAATCATTGGTGTTGCTGAAAACTCAGGTACGCCTGGATTAGAACAGGGCACAGTGTTGCAAAAATGGCTTTGAAATGGATGGGGAGAGGGAAATGGTAATAAATAGAATCCCATCTGAGAGGTAAACATGTGCCTTGCAGCTGGCTTCTCTTCTCGCAAAAAAAAAAAAAAAAACCAAAAAAAAAACCACCAAACTGCAACTTCACAGGAAGAATATTTTTTTTCCAGCCAATTAAAAGTACCTGCCAAACAACAATAACCAAAAAGTTCAGCTTTGGGAAAGGGAGGGGGGGGGTGTGTGTCTCTCTCTGTGTGTGTGTGTTTGTGTGTCTACTTCCTATGGGTAATTGAGCTCAAGGAAATGACAGGGCAGTCCTAAATCTTCCCCCCCACACACACCCCCCCCCAAAAAAATAATAAAAAAATCACCTGCCCTTTAAGGAAAGATATTTTCCCATCCGTTTTGCAGTTCTCAGAAGGGAAGGGGCGTTTTGGGGGGGTAGGTAGGATGGGGCTGGCAGTGAGCTCTTCTGGGGGGGTCAGAGGGGGGGTTCCCAACCCCAGAGGGAAGGGAAGGGTGGTTTTGGTGGGGTAGGTAGGATGGGGAAGGGAAGGGTGGTTTTGGTGGGGTAGATAGGATGGGGCTGGCAGTGAGCTGTTCTTGGGGGGGGTCAAAGGGGGGGTTCCCAACCCCAGAGGACCTACCTGGGTGCGTGCGGACGGGAGGCATCTCCTCTGGCCTGCCCCAGCACGTGTGTGCAACGCAAAACCCGTGGACAAACACCCTCAGCCTCACGTAGGCACATGCAAATACCCTCCACCGGGGTATTTGCCCAAAAAAGCTCACTCCTCGAGCGCCGCCTCCCCCCCATTTCCCCCTCACCTGCACCACGACGTTAACGAACCCCCCACCTTCATACCTCGGGCTCCACCAAAACCTTGCTCGTACGGCTTCCCCGAGAAGCCCAAGAAACAATTCTTTAGGTGTTTGGTGGTTTTTCTCCCCCCTCAAGTTCAATCCTGTTTTTTCAGATTTCATAACGGGAGGAGGCACCCTAATGCTTGATTTAATCTTCATTTTAATAGGCACATAATGAGGATTAGCACACTAGAGAACTGATTATCCTGTATACCAGAGACAATTTAAGGCTCTGAGTATTTAAGGGATGAAAGTGTAAGCAGCAGTATTAAGCCTTAGAGCTGAAAGGAAATCGGGAAGGTGCACAGAGAGAGATTTATAGATAAAAAGTTACAAGTTCCTGCAGCTTAGAATAAGCCGAAAGATTTAGATATCAGGTATTACTGATCAGAGACGAGATAGCTCCTTTTGGATCTTGAGCATGCTTGATTCTCCCTCAGCTTTTCCCCATGATTTTTTCTGTCCAAGATAAAATCCTCTGCCGTCTGCGGTGCCAGGGAAGGAAACGCAGCTCAAACAGACTCATAGATCCATCCACACACACAGGATCCCTTTGGGTGAACCAATTCTAAAAACCTCATTGAAGTGGAGGCACAAAACCCCCCCCTCATCCCGTGGCGAAACTAATTTAAGTCTATAAGGAAACAATTTAAAGAAAAATCAAAGCAGCCTCTTAGCGAAGCTCCAGAAACAACGCCCACTGTTTTACCCCATTCCTCTCCTTTTTTGGCCCAGATTTGACAGCTCTGAGGGTGACAACGGGACCGTGCTGGTTCCTCACCCCATCCCCAAGCTCAGATTTTTTCCAACAGCCCTGTCTGTGTTGGCATATTCGGTGTCAGCTTCGATTGGAAGGGGAACAGGAGCGAGGTTGCGGCTCCTGCCTTGGGGTCAAAATAACAGCTGGGCCAGATGTTCCAAGAACGAAAAAAAAGCAAAAAAAAAAGCAAAAAAAAAAAAGCACTGAAACAGAAGGGTTTCGGGTTTCGTCTCCGTTCTGTGACGCTGAGCCAATTTCATTAAATGAAATAAATAAATAAATAAATAATAATGATGATAATAAGGAAAAAAAAAGAAGCAGCCCTGCAAAAAAGCGCTGCGGTTTCTCTACTTAATAGGACCCGTCCAGTTTGCAAGTGAGAATAATCCCATCGGGTTTGATTCTGATTAAATCAAAAGCAACTCTGGCAGGGACTTCAATGGGGGGATGAATCACCCTTCTATCTAAGTCCTATTTGGAGTGGAAGCATTGCATTTTCCACAAAATTGAATTTCAAACTCAAAGCCCGATTTCTCCACCCCTTCTCCCCCCCAAGGTGAACATTCCTCCTTGTCTTTTTTAATGTTTCAATCTGAACTGAAGTCGTTTGCAAAACAAAACAGGTTGTCCTGGCCCTCTGAGCACGTATACATCCTGATCCCAGTCCAAGTGCAAGGAAAAATTAGTAGCAAGGAGTTCCTATAGATACTAAAACTCTTCCAGCACGTTTTCTATTCTTTCTTGTATCATTATTCCAAGGCTGATTCACTCCTTTAGGGTCACGTTTGGTATTTGTACCTGCTGCATGTTTTTAAAACAACCAGTTTTAATGACGAAGAGCAATTCCAGGAAATTAACTGTAAAATGAGGTTTGGGTTGGGAATGGGAATGGGCACTGCAAGACTGTGGGATATATTCAATCAGGAGACACTCAAACAGTATAGTATCAGGGAAAACTTCATCCAGGCTCCAGAAAGCCCTTGTGAAGGCTTCACCTTTATTAATGCTTTAAAAAAAGTGGGAAAATGAATTCAGGAGCGGAGGCCCCGTACTGAGCTGCTGTCAGATTGGGCAGGAGACTTGTACGAGCAACTTTCGATGGGAGACGTTTGAGTCCTTTGGTACCAGAGCACATTTGCATTATTTATTTCACTTACTGAAGGGGACAAGAACTGCAAAATCCCCCTGTAACTTCCCTTCTGCACTCAACTTGATGACGGCAGAGGAGCTTGGGCTTCTCTCTTGCACTCAAGCTTTTAAAGGGAAAAAGAAACAACCAGTGCAGGAATCAACAGTGTTCAAAGATCAGTGGTTTGCCCACGTCGGGGTCATGCTTTTAAGACCGTTGCTAGAAGGTTTGGGGACACAAGAAGAATGTCTATTATGGGATAAGTTTTTCCCTAAAAATCTTCTCTCCTCCTGCTCTTGGTCAATGGCTGGCCTAGACGCCTGAGAACTCACCAAAAGAGAAAAAACAACGCCAAAAAATAACATCTCAGAAGAATTTCTATTTACTAAAGGCTCGGTATAACCTGCTGGGAGATTTTTTTTTTCTCCGTCGCTTCCTTTAAACGCTGCCCCGAAGTAGAAGGGTTTGTTTCCTGGCTGATACACGTAAAGAAAGAGAAGAAAGGCACTGTCAGCCCCGGGTGAACCGTCCCCCTTCTTTCCATTCCCATTCAAGAGACTCTGTTAAAGCGAACAGTGCGCCCCATTGTACCGCCCTTCCCCTATTCCCAAGGTGTTACGAGTTTTGTCCAACCTCAAGAAGAAATGTAGGAGGGGAAAAAAAAAGAAAAAATCAAAAAAAAAGAAGAAAAAGTAAAAGAAAAAGAAGAAAAAGTAAAAGAAAAGCAGGGAACCCAAAGTCAATAATCCCCCCCCTGCTCCGTGCTCAGCTGCTGGCTGGCTGGAAGCTGCTGGGAGGGCAGCAGGGCCCCCCCCTCCCTGCCATTGTCCCACCTTTTCCGCCCCCCCCCTTTTTCCCCAGCCCAAGGCCCCCCCCCCCCCTTCCATTCGCTCGGCTCCGGGAGGGACGTGAGCAACTGCATCACCTCGGGAGTTAGCAACGCTCCGCTGCTTCGTCCCTGCACGTCGGCTCCTTCCAAGCAAAAACCACCCTCCTCTGGCGGCGGCGACACTTTGGCACACACGTACACAGCCACCCCACCCTTTCCTCGCGGTGACACACGCCGCGCTTAACGCTCTTAACAGGCAAAAAAAAAAAAAAAAGGGATGGCCGGGATGAGCCATGGGGTGGGGGGAAGGTCTGGAGGGAGTAGGACCCACGTCCCTCCGTGGGATGCTGGAAGAGTGAGTGGGACCCCAAAGGAAAGGCTTCTCCCTGGGGTTAGAAGGATCCAACCTGCGCTGTCTCGGAGCCTTGAGAGCTCGCCAGCCGCCTGCGCACATCCCGGGCAGGTGTACATTAGTATAAAACCACCGAATTCCAGATGAGCCCTTCATCTGCGCCATCGCTCCCATGCGTCACCGCACG